GAGAGAGAGAGAGAGAGAGAGAGAGAGAGAGAGAGAGAGAGAGAGAGAGAGAGAGAGAGACACAATGTGTGTGGAGAAGCAATAAGAGAGAGACGTTGTGTGTGTGAGATAGTGTGGGAGTGAATCATACTTGCAAGCGGACGGACCGGACGAGCGTCCGGTCTGGTCCGTTTTGCCGCGTGCGGCACCCCCCCCCCCAGACCGGACGGACCCGGACCGGACGGGGCTGTTTTTTTTCTTTTTTTGGGGGGGGTGGGGGGTAACTGGTTGTCGGGCGCACATTCGTGCGCCGCGCGGGTCCGGTCCGGCGGTCCGCCGCACGTGCGGAACCGCGCGGACAGCGTCCGCTTGCAAGTATGGAGTGAATAAGGGAAAAAAACAGTGAGAGAGACGATGCGTGTGAGAGAGAGCGAGAGAGAGGGAGAGACAGGGAGAAGCAATAAGAGAGAGACATGGTGTGTGTGAGATAGTGTGGGAGTGAATAAGGGAGAAAAACAGTGAGAGAGAGGATGCGTGTGAGAAAGAGCGAGAGTGAACAAAAGAGACCACTTGAGAGAACTGCCTGCAGTGACTGTGAGAGTGGCATGAATGAGCACTCGACAGAACCCAACTCAGGTACAACAGGATGAATGGAAGCAGGTTTTGCACTCAAGTTTCAGCAGCAACACAAATTGCTTTGCAATTCCGAAAAAGGCTGGTGTTCTTAGTCCGGTGTGTGGTCGACACTGTCCAATAGGTGGAGTCCAATGTGTGGCATCCAGCGTGTGGCGCCCGGCATCCAGGGTGTGCAGTAAAATGCTTGGATACTGAACCCCAGCACATTCTGAATTACTTTCCCTCTGTAACAGACCCAATGCCTGCCCGCAAACACTAGCCTCTGCAACTCCTATTCCTACCACCATCTCCCCACAGACTCCCTTACCCCACCTACTCCCTCTGCTCCACTTGCCCGTCCATTCTGAGGCATGCGATGCTTATAATATACGAACACCTCAGGTCAAACATGCACATTGCGCATCCCTACTTGAAGAGCATGTTTCCACCGAATTTTCCGGGATGTAGGTAAGTTCACCCACTCCTTAATGATGCCAGGCGCAATGTCACCACCCAGAAGCTAAGGGATATCTCCCTTCTGCATCAGAGCTGGAATTCCCAGCTTCACTGGGAACAGATGATTCAGGGCAAGTTCAAAGAGCAATCAACCTACTAACCTGGGGTATACGACTTGGCAAGCGCACCAAACCTACGGAGAAGCAACATACAAGGTGAATACCTGCCAGCAAACAAAAAGGACCATAACAAAATGATACAGATCAAATTTGTAGGTTGATGGATGGAGACCAATTCTGCATCACACTCATTCTTGTCATCCTTCATCAATAAGAAATTAAGAATATATCCACTGTGGAAGGGGGGGTGTCGGGGGGAGGGGCCAGTGGAGGTGGGGGAGAACGGGGGGAATGTGGATAATGGGGGGAGATGGGAAAGTCTCAGAAACGGAAAAACGAACAATCCTCCCCCTAGGGAGTAATCAATATGCCGTTCCCATTTCCTTCGGCCTCAAGAGAAGGAAGTGTTGGTATCTGAAGTCGTGACGTTTCCGACTTGCACCGGAAAAGGAACCGCACTGCGGCTACCCAGAATGACTCCGCAGTCCGAACTCAATTAAAAAACACACATTTTATCGTTTTCTATTAATTTAATAATTTCTAATGATTAAATAATAAATAATTATAAAATTCTGATTTTCCGAAACTTATTTCATAAAATCTTGTTTAAATATTTTCCAAAAGTTCAAGCGCAATCCGGGCCAAAAAAATGCGAGTTAGAATTGTGAAATTTCAAATTTCAAATTTGCAATACAATCATCCAACTGTTATGATCCTGGATGCCTCACAATGCAAACCTCATACAGAGCCAATGCTATCCAATTGCAACTCAGATGAAAGCGATTGGAACGAGATCCTGGATGCCTCACAATGCAAACCTCATACAGAGCCAATGCTATCCAATTGCAACTCAGATGAAAGCGATTGGAACGAGGATCAGACAAGGGAAGGGGAAGAATGAAGAGTGGAAGAAGAAGACGAAGAACACAAGTTGGAACTAACGTCACTCCCCCCTCGTCTCGCTTCCACTTCTCTCCCTCATCATCTCCACCAACATCTTATCAAACCACCATTACCTTCCCCATATAACGGCTGAGGGCAGAAAAAAAGGCCCGAAACGGAATACGGGCCGCCGATGAAATTTATCAACAGCGGGCCGATCCCGCTTGGCTTCCGCGTTACCCGACGCGGAATTGATTTTCAAGTGGGGAAAGGTACTGGTGGTTTAATCATGGTAAACAATAACAATCAATGAATGAGCCGCAATCAAATGTACGAATTCTTCCCCTTACTGCCAGCATCGCAGCAAGTCCACCTTATGCCTCCTACACCTCCTACTACAACTTCATTGAGGATCCGGCTATGGCGGCTCATCCAGGCCTGTAGCCCGGATGTTCAGCAGGCAATTCAAAGCTCTTATGGCTCCTCCCACTTTCACCAGGACCACCACCACCAAGTCTACTTCACCATCCGGGGTCCTCCATACGTTGGAAGATTCGGAACCCCCTCCAGGGGCCTTCTAGGTGCAGCACCAACCAAGGAGACGAAGATGCAGTCCACCGTAGTCAAGGTAAGCCTTCTCCTTCGCTCTCCTCGGCCTTCTTCTTCCTCGCCCTCGCTCCAAACACCATAGCCAGGGTGGGCCAGCTCCACCTTGCTGCTGGTGCTTGGTGCTTCACCCACCAAGCTTACGATCCAGCAGCATTGCTGCCTTGCTACCGGAAGAATGGGGCAGAGCAACTCCTTGCTCCTCCTGGTATACTTGGCCGCTGCATTCCTCCACGGTGAATTTCCAGGCAAACTCAGCCTCTAGGCCCTACCGGCTCTCGTCCCTTTTGGCAGGGACATCATTGCAGTCTGATATCCTTCCTACCGAGACCTAGACCCTTTCTGACTTCTTCCAAGCGGGTACCTTCTAGCCTTCTAGGGCCTACAGCTAGACGTACCGCACCTCAGGGCACTACTTTGGCCTACCCAAAGGTATTACCTTTCGACCTTTTCTACCTACTTCCCACTGCTACTCGATTTTGGCCGGTTCAGGCCTACCTACCCCTCTAAGCTACCCACTCTGCAATGCCAGCAAACGGCCACAGGGCTAGTACCAGGCGCGGGGGCCGAATCACACAGCAACCAACACACCCAGCCGCACGCACACACACACACACACACACACACACACACACGCACACACGCACACACACAGAGTGAAGTACTCACGCGGCGAGATACAACCACAGGGCAAACAGATATCGGCCATCACCACACTGCGACAGACTCAGACAGCGGAAACGTCAGCAAACACAGAGCGACAGCAAAGACTCAGAACACCACAGAATTCACAGTCTGCAATTTTGCATATTATCACATCACCGCCCCCCCTCAAGAGCGAGGTCCCTTCGAGTGACTAGATGCTTCGTAGTCGCTGCAAAATGCATCATAGGCACAAAATGCAAGTAGGGTGATTGCCTGCTCGTGTGGATAGAGTTCGGGCGCCGGGCACAGTCTGAGATTTACCGCACAAGGTGCAGACTGATCAGATCTTCGCGAGCAATCCAACGAGTTCATCAAGAGGATGGTAAAGAAAGTGCACTTGGTACTGTCAGTTTCGCCCCTTTCCAAAATATTAAAATAATCACAAATTCGATAGATTTCGAATCTGCCATCAATGGAGCGCGGGATCATCTGATCACAATCAGGAAAGGAAGTAGAAGCAGTATAGGGATAAAGTTTGGAAGCATGAAAGACCGAAAAGGGGTGCATATGGGGAGGGACGCCAACCACATAGGAAGGGCCGAAGTCGTCATCCCCTATGACTTCCTGAATCTGCCAGGGGCCGTGGTACAGTGGAAGTAAAGTGTGAGAGACACCTTCCTCGTCCGAAAACTCTGACACATCCGCACCCTGACATGATCACCTTCCTTGAAAATTGCAGATACACACAGTTTTGAGAAGACACTGATACTTGGTTCCGTACCCAGGCATACCAGGGATCAAAACAGCGTGACGATCAGGGAACAGGACATCAAGAAGGTTGCGGATCCGCCAACCGATATGCGACTCATTAGGAGTCATGTTGGTCGCGGAATGAATAGAGTTGTTGTACAACCCCTTCACTCTATCCAACTCTTCATTCCAAGTATTCTGTCCGGGCACAATCAAAGCACGTAGGAGTTGGGTGATAATCTGATTCATTTACTCAGCTTGTCCGTTAGCTTCTGGATGTCGACCAGATGTCAATGTCAGTCCGATTTTATAGACTTGAGTAGTGAAGTCCTTCCAATCGGAATTGATGAATCTGATATCCTGATCACTCACAAGAGTTTTGGGGGGGGCATACTGCAAAATAACTTCTTCTCAAACAACAGGCCTAGCTCAGTTGGTACACCCACGAACTGTTGAAATACAAATCCAAGTTCGAATCCAGATGCACTTAGATGAGCAGAGTAAAATAATTCTGCATTACCTGGGGACGGTCAGTTCAATGATGATATCTCAAGGCCTTGGCCCTCTTTAAAAAAAAAAAAAACAAGCGGAGCCCGTGCGGCGATGCGGCGCCCCAGGTCCAAGCCTGCCTATACAGGGCAGGACTGGGGCAGGCCACCCCATGTGGGATAGGCCGTACTGTGTGGAGTGGGATGCCGAGTGGGCAGGGTCCAAGAAACGGCCCAAGAAAACCGATTGCACTATGGGGCACGCCCCTCAACGCACGACATATCGAACATGAGCTGCCAAAGTCCGATGACTCAACGGCAAGCCGGGGGGCAAAAAAAAAAAAAACCAGGAAAAAGGCAAGGCAGGTCAGCTTCCCATCAAGACTGTCAGACACGCTCCACTGCTCTGCACATGCACAAAAGACGAAAAATATGGCAATGTATCATACTTGCGGCGCATCTCATGCGCGGGGGCGCGGCACATGCAGCGCAAAGCGCACGCGCATGAGATGCGCCGCACGTGATGCGGTGCATTTAAAAAAATAAAAAATAAAAAATAAAATAAAAAAAATTGAAAGTTCAGAGTGGGGTGGCCAAGCACTCCCCTCACTTCCAAAAATTAGAAAGCAAGAGGGAGAAAAGTTCGGGCCACGTGATACCCCGTAACTGTTGGCACTCGTCTATACATGCGAGTATTCATTTCCTAATTGTGTCCAGCCTCTTTTTTGAAGGGCCCTTATAGCGAACTAGCTAGGACCCTACGTGCAGCTGAGGCGAACTTCAAACTTCCAGTCACCAGCGTGAGCAGAGAATATATACTCTGGATTCGAATTCTGGGATGTGCATCTCGGATTCTCGGTTATGGGTTCACTATTTCTTTTGTTTTCAAGTTTTCGTTTTCTCAGGAATAAGTGCAGTGGCCCTAAGGGCCGTTACTCACCACATACACAAAAGACAAAACATATGATGGTGTATTATTCCACGTTCTGCGGTAGATTCTTTCTAATTTTGCAAATTTGCTCACTATTTCTTTTCTTTTCTAGTTTCCGTTTTCTTAGGAATACGTGCAGTGGCCNNNNGTAAGTGCCCTCACATCATCATCATCATCATCCTTCACCTATCCCCTGACTTCACTCCCACGTCTGTCCTCTCTTGCACCCGAAGACCACCCCTGAACCTCACTGTACATCCAAGCCCAGCCTGCTATGAAGGCTGGCTATGGCGCTGCCGTCAGCAGTGCCCTTCTTCCCTGCACGACCGCACGTGTTGCACCTCGCCTCTCAGGGCCAGCCAGCAGCTGCGAGCTCTTGCTCCAGCAGCGCTGCCGCTAGCATGCGAGTGCCTGAATGAGGCTGCCAGGAGTGAGCTCTTTCCTTTATGGAAAGAGCTGGCCTGCTCGTGCAGCCTGGCTGCACTGGCCTGGGCCCAGAAGCTTCCGGAAGGCCCCAGGAGGCTGCCTGTGTACAGCAGCTACTAGGCTGCCGGGCCTCGTTCGGTTGGGCGCCCAACTGTCTCTGTATGAGGCTGCGAATCACGCCCAGGGCCTGCATTCTTTGGAAAAGCCCGGAAGGCCGTGGAAATGTCTTTGTTGCCCGGCCTGAGTTTCTCTCAACCAACTGGCGCGTCGCAACTGCCTGGACCCCAAATACGAAATTGACAGTCGAGGGCCTCTAGCAATATGTCAGGCCCGCCTTCACTTAGGGCGGGCAATGCTGCAAACAGGGCCCCATAGGCCTACCGAGGACCCTGATCCTCGCAATATTAAAAAAAAAAAAAAAAAAGTTATGTGGGGCACAACCCTAAGTTTCCTGGCATAAACATGACTAGACATGAACACATTCAACACAACCTCCTGTATCTGCTTGAACTTTTATACAATATGAGAAATGTAGCACCCAGCGAAAAAAAAAAAAAAAAAAAAAAAAAAAAAAAAAAAAAAAAAAAAAAAATGTAGCACATCAAAATTTGCGCATGGCGCACCGCAGAAGTGCGCCGCAAGTATGCAATGTATCTTTCTATGTTCTAGCGGAGGTTTCAGTCTCATTTTGCACATTTGGAGAGTAGCGGAGCGAAAGAGGTTCCCAATCGAACTGTTGGCCTCGTTCCAGTGGAGTGCTTCCCATCGAAACTGTCGGCCACTCTCCACTGCTCTCCACATGCATAGAGACAAAAAATATGGCAATGTATCTTTCCATGTTCTCGCGAAGGATTCAGTCTCATTTTGCACATTTGGAGAGTAGTGGAGCAAGGCACATGAGCTGCCAAAGCCCGACGACTCGCTAGGCAACAAACAACAGCTATGGCAATGTATCTTTCCATGTTCTGGCAAAGGATTCAGAGAGTAGTGGAGCGAGGCCCAGTGTCCCTATGTACTTGTATTCCAACATGAGCTGCCAAAGCCCGACCACTCGCTAGGCGACAAACAACAGCAAGAAGCGCAGCAGGAAAAGAGAAGAACGGGCCAAGAATCGCTGCCGAAACTTCCCAGCCGCGCCGCAGTCCGCGTGTGCCGCCTCCCTCCGCAAATTCCCCTGACCCCACAACAAGCATTACACTGGGTCTTCTTTTGCTTTTATAAGGACAAGTGGACCCACCGCAGCGAAGGACGATGGCAAAAACATTTTGCGAAACACCCCAGCCATCAGTTGGACCCCAGCTTTGCAATGTACCCCTAGTGGACGCTGCCCAACTTTGCAAAATGGGCCGGCAGTCGCCAAGTTTTCGTAGGTGCAATTGCAAAAGGCCAAGCAAATTTGCCCACGCACCTGACAGGGGCATAACACA